ATTTAACTTCACGGAACCCCTTTCGGGGGGACACCGGCCAATGGTCAGTCGCTGTGCCTCCCTAACTACCCCTCCCCCTATAAACATCACCCTACTCGGGGAACGGCCTGAGAACCAGGCGAAAGGCGGCTGGTTGGAGCCAGTGACACCGGACTCCCCCATGGACAAAGACACTCCTCCCACCTCYCYCYCYCYCYCYCTCTCTCTCYCTCTCTCTCTCTCTCTCTCTCTCTCTCTCCGAGTCTCTCTCTCTCCGAGTCTCTCTCTCTCTCTCCAAGTCTCTCTCTCTCTCTCTCACCCGTTTTCATCTTGGGAAATCCGCTTATCAATAATACGAAAGGTCTCTAACAATGTTGTACTTAGCTATGCCAATGCACGAAGTAACGTTTGAGCAACATTTATGTCACGACAGCAACATTGGAAATTGGTTGCTTGCACAATGCAACGTTGTGGTTAGCACGAATGTTTCTTTGAATGTTGCTCCAACGACGTCAACGTTGCTCGAACCTAAAAATCAACACAAGTTTTTTTCTGTTGTCGACGCAGACACGGGTGCACATCACTTCTTGTGTGGGTCCCTGTCGTTTGTCCCATGACATACGAGCATGGTGAACAAATGTGCATGAGATTCAGAGACCGTCTGGGTGTCCCTTTCCAGCTCACGTACATAGATGGACTGCTGCAACACATTCAATACGTGGGTGATGACGACGCTCGTGCTGCATCGAATGCACAACCAACAACACAGCAGCATCAAGACATTTTACATTTGCCAACTCAGGTCGACGGCCCGGAAACAGCAAATGATGGGGGATGTTCTAATGTAGAAGCCGACGATGGTGTCACCCCTGCGGAGCACGTGACAGGGAGGGCAGAGAAGAAGAAGAAGCAGTGCACATCCAGGCCACCTCGTGGACTCCGGAGTTCCACAAAAGCAAAAGCAGTCGCTGCCCCAGTTCCAAAGCGCAGGCACCACGCAGGGATGGCGGCATTGGCAGATATTCGACAACTCCAACGATCTACTCACTTGTGCATCGCTTTGAGGCCGTTCATGAGGGTCGTGCGCGAGGTCGTCGAGAAAGAAATCGCACGAGGGCAATCTATCAGGTTTCTGTTGAACGCTATACGTGCATTGCTGGAAGCGGCGGAAACATATCTCATCAACCATTTCGAGAGAACAAACATCATTGCTATCCACTGCAAGAGGGTGACGATCCAGCTGAAGGACCTAAGGCTGGTTGACAACTTGGCCAAGGCTCGCTGGGAATACAAATATGAAGGCATTATCGACGAGCAGAAGAGAGCGGAAAAGCTACGGTAGATGAATGCTGCAAAGCAGGTCGAGAGAGAAACGCAGGCGGGGRAGGGGGKGTCTCAGAAGACAGCTGCAGCACGCAAAGGCGGTGACATTCCAGCGGGGTCGTCGAAGAGGAAAGGAGCGTCGTGGAAAGGCAATGCAGCAAAGAACAGCATGAAATAAGAACACAGTGAAGACTGCACTGAGACCAGTTTGCACACACACAAATATAATATGTATGTGTGTAGGTGCGGTGTAGACTGTATGCACTTGCATTGACTTGTTGTTTTCTGCAGCACGCGCCGCCGCACAGAGGTTGTACTATAGTGTGTTGTGTGCTGTATGCTGTGTACTGTAGTGTGCTGTGTGTTGTGTACTGTCGCCGGCGCACGACGTGTGCTGCATGAGTATGGGGCCACGTGGCAGGTCTGGCTATCCTGCTGTGTGCTGTGTGCTGTGTGCTGCATGAGTTGTTGTGTGGTGTGTGGTGTGTGTTGTGTGTTGTGCAACTGTGTGTTGCATGAGCTGTGCAACTGTGTGCTGGATGAGCTGATTGACTGCGAGGCTGTACACTAACTCGTAGGGTTAGATTCGTAATTTTATTTGGCTGAGGGCTAACCGAAACACCTGCCTGTAAGGAAATTCGTGAGTGACAAATCTGTAAATCCGGGAAAAAAAAAGGCCCGGTACTAACCGAATTCCTACAGCTACCCTAATTGCCTATAGCAGGCCCGGGCCACCCCTAGGATAGACAAACCCTAAGTGGCCTATGCTGCTAGACGGTCCTATAGCCTATAGCCGGGTCCGGTAGAGGCCGAGAGGCCGAAACAGCAACGGTACCGGTCGGTCAGTCAGTCCGGTCTAGGTCTAGAGAGTCTATAGATAGGATAGGCCCACCGATTCAGGACTTTTGGCAGTTCATTTCTCGCCTCACAGCGTTGGAGAAGCCAAACAAGTTGGTGGCGGTGTTGGTCTGCAGGCAGCATCCTGAGACGCACCGTGACAGCAGCCATAGCCGGCCACATCTGAGTCTGCCATAGCTGAGGCATCCTCAACGCATCTACCCCTGGGGGTATCTGCGTATGGCCGGGCTGGACCGAGGCTCTACAGTGGTGGTTCGTGGGTGGTGGCAGCCATAGCTGCCTGTCCCTTCGTCAGAGTTGTCCATCGGCACTGAAGACTTCATCGCAGGACCTGTTCTTCACCAGGGTGGTTGGCGCTTGCCTCTGGGAGGCTGTTCTAATGCAACGCTACTAACTGGGTGTAGGATAGAGAGTGGGGTGTGAGTTTTGAGTGCGGCAAGATACTGGAACAAACTCTGTTACGATAATTGTATGAAAGGCTTATCATCAGTGACCTTTCCAATTGTGATCTTCGCAGGTTATTTCTTGTGATTGGTTATTGGGAGTTGTGTCAGAGAGTGAGAAACACAGCGTGTCTTCTCCCCACCTGTGCATGACTGTCTTCCGCTGCTTATTTTCACCTGTGTGCAGTGTGGACTCTGTTTCCTCTCTCGCCTTCTCTTATGCATGCATGGGCATGTGCGAGATTGTCTGTGTGTGAGTTGCAATAAAATTCATTAAGCAACCAAGTTCATAACAGTGAAGACTTGTGCTCATTCTGGTTGTTGACGATGCATGCTGTGAACACACTTGCGTCTCATGGTGTGAAGACTTCTGCCATTGTGAGATACACAACAGAGAGAATAAGTGGAGAGGACTTGTTCTTACCTTGACTTCGCAATTCGTGTTGTTGATGATGACCATAGACAACACCGAGCAGATAACTTCTGGTAACGAAGGGGACGTAATACTTTGTTGAGCGTTGAATCCAGGAACTCTTGACTCTCTTATTGGATACTAGTTATAAAGATTGCTTTTGTTTTATGGTCAATGACATCTACTCATTTTCTGCAGTCTGATGGTGGTGACGTCATTCTGCTTAATGTCAGACTGCGATATGTGTAGAGAGAATTCACTGTACTGTGTATTCTGTCACTTTGCTTCTGTGAGTCTTCCACTGCGTTTTCTTTTCTCCGCGTTGTGACACTCTACTTCCTCTCCCCTTCCTTCTCTGTATGTATGGGCGTGTACGGGAGTCTATATGAGTGAGGGCTGACGAAATTGCAGCGGACAATCATGTTCATAACACATCAATGACCGAGAGTCTGTGTGTGTCGTAGAGTTTGTGTGAGTGTGTGTGACACATTGTTCACTAATTCTCGGTCTGTGTGTGTTGTCTTATGCGCCGCACGGTTGAACCACCGAAGCAGAATTGGCGAACCAAAATCTGCATCTTCCCAAGCATTCAGTCTACAGCGTACGCCGTTGCTTTGGTCAGAGGAAGGTATAGTTGCCTGCGTACCTTGAAACTCAAGCCTGCCCTCACTCTCTTGCTCCTATATCCCATGTCCTGCTCTCCGTCTGTTTGTTTTCTTCTCCCTACAGCATGCACACTCCTAACTAAAACACACTCATGACGTCTGCGGTGGTGACGGGAAGTGACTATCATACTTCCCGTGTTTGTGATATTCCGTGACTTTCTGTGACACACGGACACACTTTCACAGACATACTTACACAAGCACACTGACACAGACACACGGACATACACTGACACGGACATACACTGACACGGACATACACATACATAGACACACGGACATACACAGACACAGACACACGGACATACACTGACACGGACATACAATGACACAGACACACTTACACAGACACACGGACATCCTTACACAGACACACTTACACAGACACACTTACACAGACACACTGACACAGACACACTTACACAGACACACGGATATACACTGACATGGACACACTTACACAGACACAAAGACATACACTGACACAGACATACTTACACAGACACACTTATACAGACACACTGACACAGACACACTTACACACATACACGGACATACACTAACACGGACATACACATACACAGACACACTTACACAGACACAGACACATGGACATACACTGACACAGACACATACACAGACATATACATACTCACACAGACAGACATACACACGCACAGACACAGACACACGGACATACAGATACACAGACACAAGGACAAAAGTTTGTGCTGCGGTACTGAGCGCTTGAACTCAGGGCGCTGATGTGGAGAAGCCACACTGACATACACACGCACACAAGTGAGGTCACAGACACATACACAGATACAGACACACACACACACACACAGATACAGACATACACACAGACACACACACATACACACACACACATACACACACACACACACACACGATCTTGGTGGAGAACTATTTCGTCTTAGGTAAGTTGTTCTCTACCCTCCATGGCTTTATGAATGAATGGTTCCTGACCCTGTGATACGTACAATGCTTCACACGTTTGGGAAGCTGGGGGTGTCATGGCGGCTTTGTCTTTGGTTGGGTGGTCAGTGTGTTTCTGGATTCGGGGTTGGGGGGGGGGGGGGGGGGGGGGGGGTTGGGGGGAACATGTCATTGGACCGCGGCACACCCCCTACCACTGTCAGACACAAATGGGAAGTGGTTTGGGCGGAGAGTGAGAGCAGGGTCGGAGGAGTTGACTACTGCGTGCCAGATTCATTTCGATCTCATTGATTTGAAGAAAAAATGGCACCAGTAGCCAACCCTCGTATGATATCCGTGTACTGACTGGCAGCGTCGAACGACCCCATACTTCCAGCAGAGGGACACACAAACAACATTAAGCAAACCCTCACGGAGCTTTAAATCATCATTTTGCCGTTCCACTTACAGACATATAGACAAAAGCACAACCATCATGTCGATGTTAGCGGCGCAGGTGAGGGCAACTCTTCAAGAGGTGATGCAATACGCGGAGGAGGGCATCCACTACGATGACGACGGGGAGCTTGAACTATTCACGAAGAGAGTGCCGAGTTACTTCAATGTCAGAGTGAACATCCGTGCAAGCATCGCTGCGAACGGAGAGGATTCACTCAGAGTACGAATGCTATTGGCACGGTTCACTGAGGCGCATGATTTGCGTGTAGACAACAGTGCTGATACCAGTGCATACAATTTGAGAAAAGTGGTTGGTTGGATGTGCACAGAAGGGATGTCCGATGAAGGGGACGTGGATATGACAAAGCAGCAGAAGGGTGGAACATACATGCCAACCGATTTCAAGCAAATGCTCATGACACAGGCGAAGAAATAGGGAATGCTTGTTGAAGATTGTAAGGACGAGATGAAAAGCGGTGTAGCATAAATTTTAGTACTCTCGCGTTTGAAGGACGTACTGCAAGCTCCCCCGCAAGACTTCCAAGATCTTCCTGTAATTATTGCAAACGGGGTGGAGTATGTTTTACTCGACCAACATGTGAATTTCATGAAAAAGAAACCTGACGATCAGAATGTCGTACATGAGGCATTGCATGATGTGACAAACAAGCACTGGCGGGCAAGGACCTCATTAACTACAGGGTGCGGAGTGTGGAGCAGGATGTCGTATGTGGTACTCCATTGTGGGATGGAATATTCATGGCAGCTTTGCATCGCCTTAGCATTGCGACTTCTGAGGTGGACAGAAAGAGGTCAAGGGAAGAAGGATGGAAGTTGGTGGTCAGAGAAGCAGATGTTGCACTTCATGCAGCAGATGAACACACTTCAGAAGGGGAAGAAATTGTGAGAACTGTCTCCATCGTGCGTTCTCCAATAAACACAATGTCCACGGAGGAGGTAGAAGAAAAAAATGTGTTCAATGAGTGAACAATGACGGAATTAACAACGGGAACGAGGGTTCGAAGACTCTTCTTTACTGATCGATTTCGAATATGACATTGAAGAAGCAAAAGTGAGGAACGATGAAAAAGATGCGAGGTTGCCTAACTATGAGGTGAAAGTGAGTGGCAGCGATGTGAGTAGCGACGAGGAGGGTGAGGAATATGATGCCTGCTGGGATTTGGAAGCAGGGGGAGGATAAGCGTCAAAAGGGTGGGCACATGCGATTCTTAGGTTGACACGTGTATTCTCTAATCCCCATTTACTGTTGCGTGTCGTGCTGAAGGACGCAACACCTAAGGGCGCACTCCAGTACGCAGCATTGACGACCATTATGAGATCATGCTCGAACGGAAAAAGATGGTCACGTATGGGGAAGTCATGGTTTGTCTTGGTCAACAGAGAGGCTGTCCTCGCAACTTCACTTACGTGGGGCCTGGACCTTAGTTGCCTCCGGCACGGGGCTGTAGCCAGCGGTTCTGGTGCTACATTGCACCCGACACTATCAACAGGAGAGGAAATACTTCGTGCTCATACATGGCTTGACTGCGCATCAGAGACCATGGTGGACAGCGGTGATACAGACATTGGTAGTGGACAGCATTGAATGCAATTGTTCGATGCACAGGCTATGCATATCATGATTAATTCTGCACAACGCATTTACGGAGTATGTGCAATATTTTAGGTGTTTGAGTGCTCGACAACAGTGTATATGCTCTCTCTCTCTCTCTCTCTCTCTCTCTCTCTCGCTCTCTCTCTCTCTCTCTCTCTCTCTCTCTCTCTCTCTCTTTTCGAGGCTACAGCCTGCAATGAGCCCCTTCGACCCCAGGCATCAATGTGAGGGCCCCAAGGGGTGATTGGAGTTGCAATTCTGCCTTTGGTTGGAGGTCATGACTTTTTAGCTTTCATGTTGATGATGTGGAATGCTTGTTCAAGTTTGCTATTGCTCAAAGTATACACTGTGTGTGTGCGTGTGTTGTTAAATATCTTTTATTAGTGTTCCTTTCAATGATAGCAGAAAAATATTTTTCTTTTATAAATGTTCCAATAAATCCGCACTTATTCTTTTATAAATGTTTTTCTTTTATAAATGTTCCAACAAATCCGTAGTTTTATAATTGTTTTTCTTTTTTAAATGCTCTCTCCCTCTCTCTCTCTCTCTCTCTCTCTTTCTCTCTCTCTCTCTCTCTCTCTCTCTCTCTCTATCTATCTATCTATCTATCTGTGTGTGTGTGTGTGTGTGTGTGTGTGTGCGTGCCACGTGTGTATGTGTGTGTGTGTGTGTGTGTGTGTGTGCGCTCAGGAAACGAGGATGTGACACTTTGAAAGAAAATGTGGCATGCCTCAAAGTTAAAAAAAAAAAAAAGGCGAAACATTCACAAAAATTCTTGATTTTAATACCGCTTGGAATGTTGTCGTTGTCTTCGAATCTGTCAGCAGCACACAACAGTGGTGTTGAGTCGACGGGAGGGAGAGGGGGGACGGGGGTGGGGGGAGTGAAAGGAACTCATGAATTTCACACCGAACGCGCATCCTCCATCTGCGATAGGTCTTAAGTGACATCACTTTGTATTTCTCGCACGTAGTTGCAATGGATGGCACGAGTCACGTGTGTGACTGTGGGCGGCCTTTCATATCATTACGGACGATGAACTCACACCGAGCGCGCACATGTCCGTCCGCTGTGGAAGAGAGGAGCACGGCACAAGAGATAGTTGAGGAGGTTATCAGTGGACCGTCAAATAGTGGTCCCATTAACCTGGTTAGTGGGGAAAGCAAGGAGGTTGAGCCCCCTCCCGATGTAGAAGCAGACTGCGCATCCGAAGAACAACAAGAACAACACACAGAGATATTCGACAGCTCCCGCAAACTTGCGGCATTGATTTTCTCATGTAGTTGCGGTGTGGGCATGTCCCAAACTGATGTTCACTGTCTGTTGTCACTCCTCAAGAATCCTAGATTCGACCCAAGAAATATCGCAGTTCATAACAGTCGTGAGTGTCTTACATGGGCAAGCCGCCAGGCAGAGGCTGCAGGGTGGCAAGAGAACAATCTACGCAGTGATGATTGGCCAGAAGAAGCGCACGCCATTTTGTGGTACCACGACTGGCGCACAACGTTCGTTGACCTTGTATGTGCTGCACTGCACAACGTTGAAACGGTTTCTTGCCTCGAAATAGAACCTCCCGGGGAGGGGATCAACATATGTGGCTCTCGCACGGGCCAGTTGAGTCACCATGTCCAAAGTGTTATCAGAGCGGACAAGGGTGTGGACACGAATGGTAAAACACGTTATGTCATCCCTCTGTCTTTGTATTCAGACAAGACTTATATAGACGGTCGTCAAAAGCAGTCAGCGTATCCTCTGATGATGTCAATAGCCGATCACGCATCGGACGCCACACTCCTTGCGTATCTTCCTGTGCTTCAACACCGGCCACGTGACAAGGGCTGGGGTCTGCACTCCACCGCGTTTAGAAAACGAAAAATTGTGATATTGCATAAAGCGTTGTCAATAGTATTGTGGTCCGCAAATGAGGCATCCCATGACGGCATGATAGTTACAACAGAGAGGTTCGGCGAGATAACAGTCCACCCTTTCGTCATGAACTACATACAGGACTATCCTGAAAGGTGTGCCCTTGCAACTGTGAAATTCGGTGTTTGTCCAACATGCACAGTGTCCAAAGACGATTTCGACGTCATCGCCGATTTCACCAACTGCAGGAGATCGTAGACGCTAGAGACGCAACTTGCTGCGAACTGATTCAACAATGGGGACAACGATATTCGTCGTGCCGCAGAGGCACGAATGTCAGAATTGAACATGCATAAGTATGTTCAAGAGAACGACCTTTGGGGATTCTACAAGGGTCCGCATGGTGACGATCCTCAACTAGATTACCATCTCGCTTTGCAACCGAACCGTATGCACACCATTGAACACGACATTTTCTTGCATATGATAGATGCATTTAAGGCAGCAGCTTTTAAGAAGTTGCCGGATATCGCGCAAACCGAGATATTGCACGAGATGGATGCGAGGTTGCAGAGCATCAGTGAGAGATGTGTGAGGACATACCCGCAGCTCGTGTTGCCCGTGGCCACAGGTTGTGATTTTTTTTCAAGGGAAGCACGATTTGAAGCGAAGTAAAATCGGTCAATTATGACTGTTTGCGTGTTTATTATTTGTGATATCATCCCGTGTGCGACAAACAAATCAATTTTCACTTGTTTCATCAAACTAATGGAAATGTACATACACGTGTTTCGTAAGTCGACCCACACTGCGACTTCTCTCGATGTATGTGACGCATTGATAGGTGATTTCATAACGAGTATAAAAACGAAGATGAAAAAATATCAAACCTCGGATTGAAAAATTTCGAAGTTGCACGACCTTATGCATTTGAGAACATGCATAGAGCGATCCGGTGTCCCCGATAGCTTCGCAGTTGATGTGTGGGAGCATCATCATCAGAGGTTCTGCAAACAACCATATCTGGCATCGAACAAGTGCAAGGCTGCTTCCCAGATGGTGAATCATGTCCGACGCTCATTGGTTTTGCAGGATGAGATGGAGATTGTGAGAAAACGAAGAAAAAGGTTGGCAGAAAATTGGTCATCCGTGACAGACTGCATGACCACCAGAATTAATACCCTCGTAGCGCGCGACACAGCAACTCTATAACTCCGGTGGTTCCAGATGGACGGTGTGCATTTGTTAGAGGTGGAGGGTATAAGCAACGTGACGTTGAGAATACTTAATGAGCTTCCCTGCAGAGACGATTTTCGAGCTGCGCTCAAGGCGTTCATGACAAAGAACGACTGTCAACCTCCATCTGATGACCAAGTGATACACACTCAAACACACTTGACTATCACCTGCACATACGACGGGACGCACAGGGGCGCAAACGTTCAAAAGGCAAGAGCCTCACCACAGTTCCATGGGAGAGCCGTGCACAGCGAAGTTGCAGAGAGAGGTGGGAATGACAACATATGGTATGCATCAGTAGCCATGTTTTTCGTCATGAACACTTGCACAGGGGGTGTTGCGGAGATGTACAGTTGTTGTTTTGTGCAATGGTACAAAAAGGTGAATAGCGAAAGGGAACACACAACAGGTTGTAAGAAGTTGCAATGGGAGAAGGTCAACTGTCATCAGCACAGTAGCGTCATAACGATTGACACCATCATCGAGACCGTTCACATTGTTTCTCGTTTTTGTAAACCACAGTGGGGCTCGAAGAAGCATGCAAAAGAGAGGGAGGACAATTTTTTGTTGAATAGATATATACTCTAGAAGTGTACATGGAATTACAAAAAAAAAAAAAAAAACCAAAATTTCAAAGGCCGAACGTTTTTCCGAAAATAATCTGTGGTGGGCGCAGTCGCAATTTTATACTATGGCACGCGTTCAACTTTTGTATTTTTTTTACACAAAAAGAGAGAGAGAGAGAGAGAGAGAGAGAGAGAGAGAGAGAGAGAG